ATTGCGAGAGGTCTAACTTAAAATATAGGAAGAAAAAAATTAGATAGCTGCCACCTTTTTGAAAATTGGAGTTTAAGTAAATTGATAAGAAAAAATGGATACTGCAATATGGGCGTCAAAAGAAAGAGGCTGAAGAAGGCTTACAGCCTAAAATACTTTTTTAGAGTTGCCACCTGTTTGAAAATGTACATTTGATTTAATTTATAAGATAAATTGAATATTGCAATATGGGGATCAAACTGAAAGGGGTTAGGAAATTATATTGCCGAAATATTTTTAGGGATGGCTGCCACCTGTTTGAAAAATTTTATTGTATTAAATTGATAAAATAAATGAAATCTATATCTACATCTATACATATAATAAAATTGTAACAGGTCGATGTCTGTACCCTATAGATATTAAAGTAAAATTAATATGGTGGGTTTTTATTTAAGCTACAGAAGCCAAATAAACAATTTTTAGAATTTTTGAATCTCTGTCTGTCTGTATATTTGTACGCACATCAGTCGAAAACATGGAATTGAATGCAGAGTTTTCACCGATGTATCGCTAGAGATCTAGCTTCCAATATAGAAGAAGAAATTAGAGAGTTGCCACCTGTGTTTAAAATTTCAGTTTAGGTCAATTGATACGGTAAAGTGAATACTGCAATATGGCTGTCAAAAGAAAGAAATTTACAAAGGCTTACAGCTGAATATATTTTTGGGGAAGGTTGCCACCTATTTGAAAACTTTAATTTAATTTAATTGATAGCATAAATTAAATATTGCAATATTGGCATCAAACTAAAGAGGCTAGGAAATTTTAATGCTAAAATATTTTTAGGGGATTTGCCATCTGATTGAAAAATTGTATTCATTAAAATTTGTAAAATAAATGAAATATTCTTGAAGCGGGTTTGAAAACTTTAATTCAGTTAAATTTATAATATAAACTAAGTGTTGCCATATGGGATTCAAACGAGAGTATTTGAGAATATGTTAAAGAAAAATTAATAGGGCCAAATATAAAATTTTGGTATGCTTGTCTGTATGTTTGTAAGCGCATCACGCAAAAGCTAATGTATGGAGTTAAATGCAGTTTTCACCGATGTACATATTGCTAGAGCTTTAATTGAAAATATAGAATCAATTTTTTTTTTGTTTTAGTTTATCGTCGATCATTATTCCTAGGTATTTGAACGTATTAACTTTTTCTAGTGTGTCGTAGTTTATATTTAGAGTTAGCAACGGACCGTTCTCAAAATTTCGCCTTGATATAACCACAAACTTTTTTTTTTCTGTGTGGAAGGTTTTTCGTTGTTGCTGCCAAAAAATTAAGAAATCTGAGACGTCACGTTTAACAATTTCATACAGTTCTCTTTACAATGTATTTCACTAAATTACTAAACGGCTGCACCGACTTGGTTCATATTTGGCAACACCTTGAAAATAAATATTCTGACCAAAAATTTACTCGGTATGTAGCTCGAGATATTCCTAAAATTCTTATACAGACTGAAACGTAAGAAACCAATATATCTCTAAAACCAATTACGCTGGGAAACTGAACTTAGCACTGGTGCATAGGAAAGGAGCGTGGCTCCTTCCTTCCATACAAACTGAACTTCCCATATAGCTTATCTCTGGAACTACTTACGCTAACGTCCTGAAATTCTACACAGCTACATTTTTTATCAATACCGTACTTATGGCGAAAAGTGGTAATTATTGGAAAGACTGCATCGATATACATTTACGTAAACGCGCAAGTATCACTCGATTGGGAACCATTTTCTCCTAGATTTCTAAATCCCATTGAAATATTGTAACCTTGTTTTTAGTTTTTAGTAAAAGGTAAAATTTATGTGAAAATTTTGAAGAATTTTTTTAAATTTTGCACAAAGAATGGAGCTTTGATTTTTCGGGTTTCGTTATAGACTGCCCTATACCTACATACCTATTTGCATAAAATGATAGCCGTTTTCGTTGTTCGGAATAAACTCAAAAACCACTGAATAGAGTTCCGTCAGATTGTCGGAGGTTATCTGACATACAATTATTACATGCTACTAGAAAACTCGCTAGGTGGTGCTGGAGTAGAGTTATTTATAAAAATCGTATTTATTAACCGATTTCGTTCAAATTTTAAATGTGAGCTATGTACCTGTATGATGGAAAATTCTTTTGATAAAAATTTACCCAATTAGTGCCGCTGGAGTTAAGGTTGAAATTCATAACACGTATTCATTTTATGGTAAGCAATGGTTTTACAGAAAATGAACCCAATGGATGGCGCTGCAACCGAAATGTATAGAAACCCCGTGGTTGCTCTGCTTTGGCCCTATGTTTAAGTTATACGAATTTAGTTTTCAGATGTCTAAATGAAGGATGGGGTTAAGTTTGTAAAAGTGGTGAATTAACAAGGAAAGATCACCGTAGGTATATCAATTGCTCCATTTGAAAGATACTAAAGAGATCACACGACTCATTTAGCAATGTACCGGAAAACTTTTCATCCTATATGACAGCGAGGATTCTTGGCCCTCCTATAACAGAAAACTCACTTCTGTGCTCTTGAGTTTCTCTATAAGAACTTTTATTGGCATACGCATCGCACCAATGTTGTAGTTGCAAGATCATACAAAAAGATTACGCATGCTTGGCAGAGATCTCACGGGTGGAAATAAGACCATTGGTAAAGCTCATGACACCAAAAGGGATAGGTATTCCATATGGTATCACAGCATTACTATTATTGGCCTATGTGTGAGGAGGATACTGCACCTTAGTGGTTTCAACTTAAATCAAAAATTTTGACTTTACAGACTAATTTTGTTTTTAAACGCTCTTTTGAATTGGCCAACGAAAAGCTCTTATTAGGCGCCGCGAAGTAAGCGGGCATTGGCTAGTATCTAATATAATATAATATATATAATATCAATTCGTCGGAACATTTTTTTTGTTTATGTATGTTACCGCATAACTTTGGGCCACGTCAGCCGTTTTCGATAATTTTGCATCGGAAAGGTAGTGTCTCACAGGTGGTCCCATACCAATCTGGTTTAGATCCGATCAATGGATCATGAAAAAATTAACGGTACTCCTAAATTTTTATAGAGAATTGAAGTCGGTTTTTTTGCTTAAAAATTACTTGTTTTTAATTCAATACCTCGATATATAAGTNTTTCGATAATTTTGCATCGGAAAGGTAGTGTCTCACAGGTGGTCCCATACCAATCTGGTTTAGATCCGATCAATGGATCATGAAAAAATTAACGGTACTCCTAAATTTTTATAGAGAATTGAAGTCGGTTTTTTTGCTTAAAAATTACTTGTTTTTAATTCAATACCTCGATATATAAGTAAAATGTTTAATAAAAAATCGCGCGATTTTTTATTACAAATTTTCGCCTGCGGTGCCTTTCTTTTAATTCAATACTTCAATATACACATATTGAAAATTTGTAATCAAAAATTGGCGTGCTTTAAGAAAAAATCAACACTTCGATATAGTGGAAATTTTCGCATGCGCCGCATTTTTTTTAAATCACTACTTCGAATCATATCTACTGAAAATATTCAATAGAAAATCGTGCGTTTTCACTGCTTCCGTTTTCAGTTTGTTTTTCGACATCTTTTCGTGATGTGTGGCAGCACCGAAGTTTTAGTTCAATCGCCGTACAAACGAATAAGTGAGGTTGAATTTGACATTTTTTGCAACTTTAACAACTAATTACCTAAAAATTATAAGCCTCCGGCGGCTTCAGATTTAAAATCGGGGGGAACCCCTCTACACCCCCTCATTACCCTTTTTTTCAAAGCCTGGTCCATTATTGGAAAATTTTCCCCGCAATAGAGAACTCACGACGTGTTCAAATATTTAAAAAGGCGTTTTTGTCATATACTTTAAGGCCAAATGCCACGTTCTAGTACCGTTCCGTACAATAATGTACACACTTTCATACATACATATGTATGTACAAAGGTATCATTTGTCCTACTACAATATATTTTTTTTAACATGTATAAAAGGTAATTTGATTGAAAGACTTAAGAATGATTTTCGAGCTTTGCCAATTGGCTGGGAGATCTAAAGCTTTCATAATTGTGAATGTTGAGTTTATTCGATTGTTCTTAGATAACGATGTTACTGTAAATGTTATTTGATTAGCTCTCTCAGAGTTCCAACAGCACTTTCCTGTATCAACTCGATTCGCACGAAACTAGCAAGAGCAATTCCTTTCTGTTTTTAGTTGCACAGTCGCTGGTGAATGAGAAGGTGCAAGATTGCAACAGTTTGCATTCTCCGAAGTGGTGAACCTAACTATAAAAGCAGACAATATCTACCTACCTACTTTGTCTGCGTAGTATAGTCCAATATATAAACAAAAGTAAGAGTGAGTGCTTAACTAAAATATTCACACTTATTCTTAATATATCGGTATGATTGGTGTAAATTGCTCTGATGTAATCAGTGCTAAGTTCTTGCAAAATGTACTTGTGCGCGCTTTTATGTAATAATATGAGGTTGGTGATTATCGATAAAAAAAACGCAAAAATAAATATCATGCAGTGATTTTTTGTCTTTAAAATGAATGTGTTAAATTTAACACATTAGAGGTCAGATAAGCAGTTAACAATTGTCATGTACCATTCATGTGAGCAAGATACGTACATACATATTTCATATGCATGAACGCTCCTACATTCAAACATACATGTCAGGGATGTTGAGAATCTTTGCATTCGCATCCGTCATACGAATGATTCGCATCATTTTACACATGTTTTGCGAATTCGAATGTGCACATGGGCAGAGAGTCCACTCTAATATTGTTGAAATGGCTCTAAGTCAGTCTAACCAGGGTGCGGACAATAACCGGCTTTTAGCTTCAGGCGGTAAACGGTTAAGTAGTATATCAAGCAATATTGATGTGCCTTCAATAAGTACTGCTAAGCAACCTAGAAATAATTTTAGATTCCTCCAGCGAAAGCGAAGGCTCGGATGTTGAACCTGGAGACATTAAAAAAATTTTAAATTCAAGCTCAATTGAAAGCCTATCATAAAGAAAAACGAGCTCATCTCGGTGAAAATTCTCTCGATTGGTGGAAAACTAAACTAAAATACGACAAATTGACAGATCTGGGCCGCAAACATTTGTGCGGTCCACCCGCCAGCGTTCCTAGTGCAGGGCTACCAACTTGGCTCAAACCGTGCCATTTTGGCCCTATTTTATTTCAAATGGCACTTAATTTTTCAATTCGGCACAAAGCGCCAAAATGGCACTTTTGTAAAAAAGGAACATTTCAATACATTTTTGTGAAATCTTTTGCGTGTAGGTACTCCTTTTTCTCAACCAAAATTTTCTAATTTATAAAGGGTATTCAACTGGTTTATCTTATTTTATCATTGCACGTTTGTTTTGAAAATGTGTTTCTTATTTTATTGCTAAATGGGAATGATTTAAAAGAATGTCACCTTTTTTGGCACTTTTATTTTTCTATTTGGCACATTTTGGCACTTTCTCATCTTCAATATGGCACCTCATAGCTAAGGATAGTTGGCAGCCCTGGCAGTGAACAATTTTTCAGTGCAGCCGGCCTTATATACGAGCCTCAAAGAAATCGCCTCATGAGAGAAAAGGTAGCAAAATTACTTTTTCTGAAATATAATATGCCTCTTTTGATCTTTGACTACTGGATTAAAACACATTATAGGTTAATCACTCGTTCAATGTTCAAATAATTAAAAAAATTTTTAAGTAATAACACGATGACTTAAGATGATAGCTTTTTTAATGTTATTCCTAACATTCGTATGTGAAAAAAATTACATTCGAAACATCCCTAATACATGTGTTGGCACATACATACATACGTACATACTAGAAACAATGTTATGCACAGGTTCTTTCAGAGCTGAGTCAAATATTCACGCTTACTAATCTACATATGGACATCAATATGTACATATCGTCGCCTGGGTAAAAGATTGTCGTATGTTAATTTCGGCAGGTTGTGGGAAATCGCGATTGAAATTTGGAATGCAATTTCTCAAAACCGCGAAGATAGAAAAATGAAAATGTTATTAGTTCACAAAATTCTTAAATTATTTAATTTTGAATGTTTAATGTTTATTGTTAATTAGTTTTGAGTTTATGAAGGATTTTATTTAGTCAAATTTTGTCGTAAGCGTCATTTGTCCACAATTTGGCACCCACTTTGTATGAAATACGACAAAATGTGATCAAAATTTCTACCAAATTAACGACACTTTTTACTCAATATCTCGGAAACTAAAGAAGATATCTAAAAATGGACAACGCCATTTTTAAGATATTGATTAGTTTAATATGGCTGCATCACTAACTAAATTTTTACTAAATTATCAAAAAGATTGTAGTCAATATCCGGAAACTAAAGGAGATATCTAAAAACTGATAACACCAATCGAAAGACCTTATTTCAAAATATATAACTGCATCTAGAACTAAAAATCGTCAAAATGGCGCTTACGACAATCTTTTACCCATCGACGATATGTAAATGTGTGAAGACGTCTGTATGTCAGTACATTTAATCGTGGGAATTGTACATTAACTTCATGCGTGAAGTGATTGCGGTAAATAACCATGCGTGAGTGGTGATAAAAATTCCGAGAGTTACTGTTATGAACATAAGTATTTACATTATTCCGTACCACCTTACAGCAGATAAAAAAGTTCGCCGTACACCCCAGAGTTTAAAGTATTTTTATAAGGCAATTACAATTTTTTTTGTCCGAGTCTAGGTCTTGCTCATTCATATTTTTGGTGACCTACAATCGGCAATAAGCAAATATGTTTAAAATAGGGGAAAATTTTCCGGAATGGATTTAGGCTTTGAAAGAAAATAAATATTAGGGTGAGCCTCGATTTTAAATTTGAAGGGCCCGTCCACCGGAGGCTTATACTTTTAACTAATGTGCATTTAAAGTTGCAAAAAAGCCAAATTCAACCCCACTTTTTCCCTTGTAGACCAATTGAAATGAAATGTGCTGCCGCACTAACAAAAAATGCCGAAAAAAACGAAATAATCGCACGATTTTCTATTAAACATTTTTAAGATTTATTGAAGTATCGATTTTTATAAAAAAAAGCATCGCAATATATATCGAAGTATGTATTTAGTCGCAGGCGAAAATATGTAATAAAATAATTACAAATTTTCAATATACATATGTATATAGAAGTACTGATTAATTGGAAAAAAGCGCCGCAGGCGAAAATGTGTAATAAAAAATCACGCGATTTTAATTAAAAATTTTCGATATGCATATATCGAAATATTGACTTATTTGAAAAAACTCCGCACCTTAATAAAAACCCTTAATTGTGGTGTGTTATCATTTGACAGCACACATTTGCTCTTATTATCGGTCATTCTCATTTCTGTTTGTTTGTGAAAAGTGGTAAAATTTGTGAAGAGATAGGTATATGTTAAAAGTACTATATACGCACGTGAACATTGCAAATATAGTATATCACACAAAATATAAGTGATAAGTAACATTTTGTATAAAAATTTGGTGGCGGCATTGGAGATAATTTAACAACAAATTTCTTTAATACTATTAGTAATTACATTGTGAGAGTATCAATTCAGATAAATAATGCCTCCCCCAAAATCCTCACCTAGTTTCATAATGAAATTTTTTATACTTTCGCTGAAATCTCTATTGCTTCCGTTTTGGAATGCCAACCCTACAAGAGTTTGAAGTATGCCGGCACTTTCGAGTTTTAAGCTTTGTATGAGGATATTTTCAGCTGTAGTGGCACTATTTCCAAAAATCCTTTGGAACCATGTTTATGGATGTGAAATGCAGATGCGATTTTTTTTTTTATTTTTTTTTAATTGAAAATTTTTGGCATTAATTTTTCAAACTGTGTTAAGAAAAATTTTGTTCGAGGATATTGAGCTATATATGAATTGGATACGAAAAATAAAAAACATCGTATTTAGGGTTTGCCAAAATCAACCTGAGATAATTTTTGATTTCTTTGTTTTTTTTTTACTCCTGAATCGCAATATCCTCGAATATTGTATTGAACTTAATTTAAGCCCTACAAACACATTAACTATACAGTCCGACCGATTCCAATTTTTTCAGGTACCGATGCCGATTAATCGAATTATGGGGAAAGAATCGGCCGATGCCGATGCCCATGCCGATTCCATAAAAAATTACAAATAAATGTATTCATTCATAAAATTTAATTTAACCGAGTTAAGAAAACAAATAATTGAATTAATAGGCTTGTTATGCAACATTACATACACATGCATGTACATGCATACATACAATGTTGGAAAAAAGTAATAGAAACGTACAGCTTTCATATATTTTTTATTGTTTGAAGAACTCTTTCATTTAAATACATTCCGATTTCGTACATTTTATTCACGTTAATTAAAATCTAGACTTCTTTTGCAAGTGCAATAAGCCATAAATAAATTGAGGCTTATCTTTTAATTTTGGCCTGGAAGAAATAATAGAAACAAAGTAATATTTCTAACTAAATTAAACTTTGACCCAAAAATTCTTCAATATCATTGTTTCAATTGCTTACTAAACCGCCGCCTTGCCAGATTACCTCGTCGCATATTCAGTTCACCGAATTCACCAAGTTTGCACACACACTTTTCGGAATGGAATACCACGATTTTAGAATGTGGCGCCACAATTCGTCTTTATTGCTGCATTTAAAAGGCCCGATTCTCTTCTTTAATGTCTGCCCAAATGTGTTCAATGGGGTTTGGCGATTGAGACGACCACTCCATAACTTGCACTTTTTCCTTCTTAAACCACTACCTTACCAGTTTCGATCCATGTTTGGGATCATTATCCTGCAGTAATGGCATTTCTTCTTCAGCATAGGAAAGCCTTAGCGTCTGTAATATGTTTCCAACCGCGCAAATTTTGTTCTTTATCCAAAATATTGGACCAACGCCTTTCTCCGGGAAGAAGACCCATAACATAGTGGAACTCCCGCTGTGCTTAACCGTTTTTCACCGTTACTGTTTTCCATTAGATCCAAACATATTAATTTTGGTCTCATCATATTACAGCACGTTTTTTTCCAATTTTTACGGAAAAGATGTTTTATGGCAAAAGCAAATCTGTTGTGTTTATTTTTAAGGCTCAGCAACGGTACCGGGATTCTGGCTGGAAGTTTGGTTTCCGCCAACTTGTACCTAATGGTTCGTCCTGTTACATCTAAATTGAATTCTGTTTTCAGCTCTCTTGAGGACAGAAAAGGGTTAGCTTTTTTAATGTTGAATTAAACACCTTCGATTGCCAGTATTCATTTTTCGTTTTCTGCGTCGTGTTTCTGGTGTTTTTAAGCTATGAAGGGTA